TAAGAACCAATCAATTGTGCTTTCAATAAAAGTGAAGTTGCAAATGTTAGCCTATATTTTCTCAGGGAATAAGTTGGCCATGCAGACTACATTTTAAAATGTATATGCCTCCCAGACTTTATCTGTTGTCATTTTATTTATTCATGCTATAATTTTATAAGAGGGGAGGGAAAATCACCTGTGGTAGAAGAGGGAAAAGAATTAAGGCTTTTGAAGTACCACAAAATGGGGTGAGCCCCAGGTGCCCCGCTGTCAGGTATAGGACAAGTTACCGTTCGCTTTTTGGTTTTTTCCCAATCTGAAATTCACCAGTTACCAAAGTGGAATGATAATATATCTAACTTACAGGATTGGTATGAAAATAAAACATGATAGATTCACTTCATATGTTGATTCTATAGTATTAATCGATACTTAGGTATTAAAAAATCTATATTTTCACTTGAAAATTTAAAACTTATTCATTAATATACATAAGTAAAACCTTTCCATTGACTTGCTGTAAAATTATTTATTGACAAACTTCTGTTGAGTAAACCACATTTACTACTGCCAGAAGTAAAATGTCAATGATTTAACTACATTAAAATAAAATTTTCAAAACTATAAATAGTAACTAATTTACTCTTTGACTGGTACTTAGTAGTCACAAATATTGTTCCTCTGTGACACACCAAAATAAAATGAGAATTTCTGAAACAGAAAATAATCAGCATTCCTTTCTTACAAGAAATTCATGGGAAATTAATATCTCACACACCTGTATAGCTAAGAAGTATTTATCTTATTTTTAAGTCTTTCTGGTGGTCTAACATGCAGGGTGTATAAAATAGCTATTTCAAAATAATCAACATTTATGCAATCAGCTGATATTAATGGTAAAATAACTATAATGTGAAGTACTCCCAGTCCTAATTCAAATAGAAAAATTTATAGATGCAGTATTCAGTACCGCTTTTAAAATCAGCATTCAGCTCTAAGGGGTTTTTCGTAGAGGCTTTAGACTATTCAATATAGAGTATCTTAACATCTGCAAACAGAGAGAATTTGACCTCATATTTTCTGATCTGGATGCCCTTTATTTCCCTCTCTTCTCTGATTGCTCTGGCTAGTACTTCCAACACTATGTTGAATAGGAGTGCTGAGAATGGGCATCCTTGTCTAGTTCCTGTTCAGGGTGATATTGGCAGTGGGCTTATCATATAAGGCTTTAATTGTGTTGAGATACTTTCCATCTATACCTAAGTTGTAGAGAGTATTTATCATGAACAAATGTTGAATTTTGTCAAATGCTTTTTCTGTGTCTATAGAAATTGACCATATGGTTTCTGTCTTTGCTTTTTTTGATGTGGGGTATCACATTTATTGATTTGTTTATGTTGAACCAACCTTGCATCCCTGGGATGAATCCCACTTGATCGTGGTGTATAATTTTGTGTATGTGTTGCTGTATTCTGTTAACTAGTATTTTATTGAGCATTTTTGCATCTATATTCATCAAGCATATTGGCCTGTGCAAATCAAAACCACTTTGAGATACCATCTCACTTCAGTTAGGATGGCTAATATTCAAACTACTGAGAATGATAAATGCTGACAAGGTTGCAGAGAAAAAGCAACTCTCATACACTGTTGGTGGGACTGCAAAATGGTGCAGCCTTTATGGAAAATGGTATGGAGGTTCATTTACAGATAGATCTACCATATGACCCAGCTTTCCCACTGCTGGAAATAAACCCAGAGGAATAGAAATCATCATGCCAAAGGGATACCTGCAGTCCAATGTTTAATGCAGCACTGTTTACAATAGCCAAGAGTTGGAACCAGCCCAAATGTCCATCATCAGATGAGTGGATATGGAAAATGTGGTATATCTACACAATGGAATACTACTCTGCCGTAAAAAAAGAATGAAATACTACCATTAACAACAACGTGGATGAACTTAGAGAAAATTATATAAGTGAAACAAGTCAGGCACAGAAAGAGAAATACCCCAAGTTCTCACTTATTTGTGAGAGCTAAAAGTAAATAAATAAATATACAAACAAATAAAGGGGGAGCAGAAAGAAGACTCAACAATCACAACAATTCCTTGAACTTAATACAAGTGAACAGATATGATGCAGTGAGGGGGAGAGGGGAAGGAGGAAAGGAGGAACAGGTAAAGGGTCACAAAAATTGACTACAATGTATACTGAGAAGTTAAAATTTAAAAAAAATTACAAAATTACAAAATAAAATCAGTATTCAGGACATGCACAATTTAATAGAATTAGATGAGAACTTCATCCAAAGGTTATGTTTGGGGTCTCAAAAAGATCATTTCCCCAGATTATAAAGAATTTTTAGGCTTTTGAAATCTGTACTAAAAATCAGCTATTAGCTGATTAGCATGAGTTGTGTTCTATTTTGTTTCGTGGTATCCCAGGATGAGGCTAGTAGTGGTACTGGTAAAGTCTGAGGGATCCTAGACTTGGGGAAAGGGAAATGGATCTTGAGAAGGGGAAGTAGACAGACATAATTTTAAGTAATACCGACTCTATGTTTAGATATATAAGGTTTATCAATTATATTCAATTTCTGCTTTTTAGAGATTGTTTAAAAATTAATACTATATACTTTCATAAGCTTTCCCTCCTTTTCTAATTATAAAACAAGATTAGTAGACATTCCTAATGGTAACCATGGTTTCTCTCAAATCTACAATATACTTGAAAAATCTAGTCTTTAAGCACTAGAAAAATCTAGTCTTTTTCCCACTAAAAACTTGCATCAGACAAAACTTACAAGGACACTAGTTAACTATAATAATTAACTATAATAAACATGTGTGAGATAATAAACATGTGTGAGAAAGACTTATCACATGTGAAATTCCAATGCAAATAAACTTTCTACAGTTGGAAGAAAAACCATAAGTGATGGAGCCTGATACCATTTTATGCCACAGACAGTACACAAATTAAATGTCTCTCATATAAAGAATCAGATAAAAGGACCAATATAATTCCAAAATGTCAAGGCATTTATAAGTTAGAAAGCAGCTACAAGTGTAAGTTATTTTTACTCTATCCCCTCCCACTCAGATTAGGTTACTCTCAGGATAAAATACCTCAAAGCCCTTTATAATCTCATTTTTACTTATCACAGTTCAATATGCACTCTAAACATAAGCATTCAATAGGGATAAATCAATGTTCATTAGCATGTTGCTTTCATCCACTTCATATAGTATAACTAGTTTAAAACAGCCTCATTTACTTGCAATCTCCATGGCTCTGCAACCAACGACCAACTTCAAATAATTACTAGAGTAAACAAAAATTACATTACACTAACAATACACTATGTGGTACTAATTTTTTACAAGCCTATTTTGTTGAAAATAAAAAGTAAAACCAATGAGATATTTAAAAGAAAAAAAATCTGGCAAAGGAAGTCAAGAGGAAGTCCACTGAAATAGCAAATTATTGCTTATTATTATCATTTGGATATGTATTATAAAAACTAAATGTAGGAAAGAAAGCTAATTTTATTAGAAAACACATATACGCAATACCCTCAGTAAAATGAATTCCAAATATTAATTTTGAAATAGAGAGTGAACTACTTTTCAGTTTCCACATTGCTTCCTCTTTAAAGAGAAAGTTTCTCAGAAAGTTTATATCCTACCATGGAAACAATCTGTCACATGACCTCAAATGGGAAGCCACAGCTACAAGTGATATTTGAAAAGCAAATTGTGGGGTTCAGGCTGCGTCATGGAAACTTTCTAAATTGAGCTGCTTTTCAACCACCAGATGAATGTATGACAGCAACCAGCAAATTAGTGCACTCTCTAGTGTCTAAATCACCAACTAATTGTTAAGCAGTTAAAGTTCCTGTTGGTGAACATCTTTCAATAGGTACTGTTAATATAAATAAATGGATCTGGATGTTAAAATATTTTAGGATTACAGTATATAAGATAATTAAATGGGTTTGCTTTGATTGTAGATCAGTAGTGCCCCTGGTGAGTAGCCCGACAATACTGTAAATAATAAACAAATGTTCAAGAAACAAAAGCCATTTTATAGACACTTACATTTTTATAGATCCCCATGTCTTAGTTTTCAATTTTCAGAACATACCTTATTAAATGTTCGTGACACAAAGGACCATGTACTAACTCTGCAGGTATTTTTTCAACATAATGCTTGATGGATAGAGAACGCCTCTTTAAACTAAAAATTAAACTTTTTCAATAATAAATAATGCACTAAAAAATATACTCATAACTTAGATGATTAAACTTTTTAAAGGCTTTTAATAAAAGCTAACAATTCCTTTCACTATAACGTGGTATAGGGAGGAATCAGGATATATGATTATGTATTATTTTTCATTTCACTTTTTATTCTTTGTGTTTTCTCCATATATTATTTTCATCACTCTGTTTCAGGCATGAGGAAGTCAATAACAAGGCTTAAAAATTTAAGAAACACTTCTCTGTATACTACAGCTGGGTGTCAAGCTGCCGGGCTAATCCTCAACAGGATTTTCTGAATAGAATGGTTATCTCACTGAGGCATTGTCCAGAGTAACTTTTCTTATCTATAAGATATGGCCTCTGCACTGACTATAACAAAATTATTGAGGAAGATCATTTCCACACAGTGTTCAGTATTTGCTTGAACTGAAAAAGGCCTTTTCTCTCAATAATACTTTCACCTACAGATATCAGAGATTTTTGGACTGGATACAAAGCAGGCTCATCAAAATTATCATGCAAGAAAAGACTCTGGAGTAATAATAATACTGGAGTAATAGATAAGCACTCACATTGCTCTTAAATAATTCAAATAATCTAGGTGAGGATTTACCTAATTTCTTGGAATTCTTAGAAAAGTATGACTACATCACATACCAAATAATTAGAACTTTTAATATTGCATGTATATTATATATCTTATACTATATTTCTTCATAAAATAGAATGGCCTGCTATTCAGTCTTACCTGCACATTTGGTTCTGGTGATTAGTGGAGGTCCTGGGAGCCCCGTCCCACCTTCACCAGGTCTTGTAAGAAGGACACGGATCTCATATTCAGTATCTGGATCTAAATGCCATAATTTATAAGTTGGAGCATTGACTGCATGGGTTTCTGTCCAGGATCCTGATGTCATTCGGTACTCCACTTCTTTCAGAATAATGGGACCATCGCCAATGATGGAGTTGGCATTTAGTTGAATCAGCAAATATGTAGGCCCAACACCAAGCAGCTGAGGAGGAGCAATGGGTCTTGGTGGTTCTAGGAAAGATGAATGTGCACTCTAATTAGTCAAAAATCTAAAACATTATAAAATAGATATATAAATGTCTCTCAAAACCTAAAATATCAATGATTCATTTAGGAGTACGTGTTAAATATTTAAAAGAAAACCAGGGCATGAGTGGTCTGGTAACTGTACTTTTTAAAGAGCAAATACTTTTGCAGGTGGCATATGACCATTTTAGTACAAGGTTTCTTTTATTAAAAACATGACTCTCCAGGAGATAAACTTGTACAGGCACAGTAAACAAGGGAAATATAAACAGAAAATATTTAGAGATGGATAGCTCTGATTAGCTACTAACAGAGTACAGTTATCTTTCACATTTTATCTCATTCATGAAACATGGCCAAGTGGTATCAGTAGTATTTTAGTTTTTGTTTTGTTTTTCAGTTCTTCAGCATTCCTGCAGTTGAGATGAGGAGGAAGGCATAGCAAAGCTGACCTCAGAAGCTTATGCCAGGTGCTTAGTTCCACAAACCCACCTCACAATGTAAGAAACCGAAATTTACACCCAGGCAAAATCAGAAACCACTGCATGTCACTGGCCTTTGGGAGTAGCATGTGACAAGGCAATGAATCAAATATCAAACTTGAATATCAAAGGTACAGTGCAATTACATTTTGTACAGCTTAAGGTATTTTGCTTGAAGGAAATGTTGGGAAACATTATTTCAGTATTTGCTTTATAGAAATAACATAGTAGAGTATTTTTTTTTTTCCTTAACAGCAATGTAGCTGAAATGAGATACTGGATTTTATGAAAGACTCTGCAGCTCTAGCTCTGTCCATATGGTCTGTATACACGGAATATTAACTCATGAAGTACTAATGAGTACATTGTGATTAGGTGTGGTTTTCTCTAAACTTCTAGAACAACATTTCTCATACTTCTCAGGTTAGTTAAGAGACTTTAAAGGAAAGCGTTACTCTTAATAAAGTGGTCATTGGCCAAAAATTGATTTAAAATTATTTTTAAGATTTAGGGCAAATCACATAAAGGAAAATTGTTGATTGTAACCACACAACATTCCCTCACCCTGACCCACCCCAGGTAGGGGTGAACTGGAGAAGATGCAGATAGAAGAAAGTTAAGAACATGCAGCCAATATCTTTCAAACTGGATTTTCTATTCTAATGGCAATGCATTATATTAGGGGGTGGGGGTAGACAGACAGATTTTATCTTCTTATGTAGGTTTAAATGAAAAAATAATTTTTAGCTGCAGCCTAGAATTTGCTGTTTACCCCTTATCGTATAAAGTCTAGTTTCTGGCTTTAAAGCCCACGTGAAGGTTAATTCTAGGTGTCAACTTGATTAGATGAAAGAATGCTGAGAATCTCGTGGTAATGCTATCTTTTTAGGTGTGTCCCTGAGGGTGTCTCCAGCAGAGATGAGTATGAGAGTATGAGAGTCTGAGTGGCCTGGGTGGGAAAGACCCGCCCTCAATGTTGGTGGGAACCATCCAATCTGCTGAGGGCCCGGAGAGAGCAAAAGTCAGAAACAAAGGTGAATCTAGCTCTCTATCCACAGGAGCTGGGATACTCTCTTCTCTCCTGTCCACGGATGTCAGAGCTTGAGACTCTTCAGCTTTGGATTCCAGGACTTAACACCAAGGACACCATCAGCTTCCCTGGCTTTGAGGAGGGAAGGGACTTGGACTGAGCCATGCTACTGGCATCCAGTTTGCAGACGGACAATCATTGGACTTTTCTTCACAACTGTGTGAGCTAATTCCTCTAATAAATCCCTTCTCATATATTTATAACATATCCTATTGATTCTCTCTGGAGAACACTGACTAATACAATCCCTGAATTACATACATCCTTAACATAAGAGATAAGACTAGTTGGCCTGGATCTCTACACAAGTCATTTCAAGGAATATTCCTTCAAAATTCATATGACAAAAATTTACTGAGTAACTACTAATTGCTAGGCTGTTATACACATTGGGTATCAATGTGATATTGCGGGAGAGAAATAACAACAATAAATCAATGAATATATTATTTTAAACTGAGACTTGTGTAGAAAACAATCAGAATACTGTAATAAAGAATAACAAATGTAACAAATTTTTTTTCTATACAAAATCACTTCAAGAATACAAGCTACTCCCCTCAAACACGGCTCATTATGATCAGAGCTTTCAAAGTAGCTTTGGATAGGAACCATACAACGTTGTGATTCACTATACTGATGTTTAAATGAAAATAAAACTAAGATCAAAGAAGATAACATATGCTATATAAACTGTATATATGTAGAATTATTTACATTTCTATGGAAATGTAGTTCTTCACATCTGATTTATAAATTTTAACCACAAAATTATTCCTAATGGTTCATAAATTTCTACGATATGTAGTCAAAATTGTGTAGCAGGTAAACTATTTCCAATCTCACAAGTGAATTTCAATATAAAAAGTTTAAGTAAAACCAAAATAATTTAGAATTTTTTTATAGGCTAAAATAAGAGAGCTAGACATTTCATATCCTAAAATTTTTATAAACTAGTCTAACAACTTTTATATTCAGAGTTTACAAAAGTTAGGGAGAAAGAAAGTTGATATATTCTCTAAGCTCTAAACTAAAATGAAACTGAATAGAGAAATGAACTTAATAGAAAAAATGTAGATGTCTTCCCAGACTATCTAAATGCTGTGCATATTAAGAAGCAGTCTGTATTTTACGAATACACTCAATTGCCTTATTAGTGCAATGCTTGTTTTCATTCCAGATTGCTCATATACTGACTAATTTTAGTAGGAAACCATGGCAAATTCACAACTCACTGGGGTTCTACCCAAGAGGAGAAATGCCCCACTCATGACACAGCTCAACAATGACCTGAAGAGGTCTGATATGTAACCTAATGAGTGAAAAAGAACAATATGCCAAATGAATTATAAAATACAAATCTTGGTTAATCTATTAATTTACAGGTATTCTGAAAGCTGGCCTTATGTGTCTATATGAAATGTTAAATCTCATCCATCAGAACTCTGCAAACCCTTGCCATGGAAAATAAAAAGAAAAGAAAAGAGGAGCACAGAAGCTGGAAGAGAGAGAAAGGGAGGAAAAAAGCTACACCAAAACATAATATAAAAAAACAACTGAAAAAGTAAAGCATAATATATTAATACGATTTCTATTGTTAAGAAAGTGACATAAAAAAAGAAACTGAAATTTGGAGGCAGGAGGCCTAGTTTCAAAAGCATATACATATTAATAGCTGGATAAACATAAATATGTTATGTAAGTTCTTCACATTACAATTTATTCACTGGTAACCTAGGCATTATTTGAAGAATTTTAAATTACTCTACATTTCTAAATACATCAATACATACTAAATAATACTATTTTGTTTGTTTCATTTTTGCCAGAGAGCATATACATTTTTAAAACTGGAAATTAATATTCAACACTAGCATTATGTGCATATGAAGAAATGAGTTGTTGTAATCAGTCTCTTGGCCTGAAAGACGGCCATTCACTCTGGTAAGTTTTACACCTGACTTGCTATGGTTAAGCCAAAAGAAAAAAAAAAAAGCAGTCCAATAATCAAAGCAATAGCTCGAATGTGCAACTGTGGCAATGTTAAGAGAGGCTTAGAAGCATATATATTGATTAACAGCATGATTATGAGAAGTGAAACCTAGCATTAATGAGACTAATATACCACTACCTATTACATTTTTTATGCTGGAGGTAAAACTAGCCTTATATTAGCATACATATTTCGTTTGTAGGCCCTTGAGAACAAGGAGGCTTATTTATAAAATCTCTATTCATTTCAATAAATTATGCATGAATTTTAATCAGTTAGCAAATGAACAAGTAATTGTTCTGCAGCAATATTAATATTCCTCATAACTTAATATAATACCAGACCCAGAGGTGTGGTGTGAATAAATCCCAGTTGTATGCTAGGTATCAACTGAAGCATGCGATCCCCAAAATACAAGATAAACTGTGCCGTTGTTGCCAATTAACTTCCAATTAATGACTAACATTCATTATTCTAGAGCTGAACCTATTATAAAATCCCAATTATATATTCAAATTGCTTTGTTTTTATATTTCAAGTAATTTTAAAGTATCTTGAAATCAAGTAAATCACTATGAAAGTATATTCTCATCTAATTATTCCTGTTATAATGCTACTTTACATACATATGTGTCACTTATCAAAATTCAGTTAATAAAATGAAAAATCAGAAATAGAAGCCACAAAACCAGAAAAAGTCAGTAACAAAGTAAATGTTAAGGCAAATAACACTTCCACATTCATCTTTCCAAATAAACTAAATATCTCTCAATTCTTTTTTCCTAATTGGTTTGTCAATGAGGCCTTGACAAAGTATCCTAATATCCTAAGATTATCCCACCCACGAAAGAAGCAGGAAATGATATTGCATTAGTCTCCTATGGCTGCTGTAACAAATTACCACAAACTTTGTGGCTTAAAAAAACAGAAATTTATTCTCTCATAGTTCTGAAAGCCAGAAATTTAAAATCAATATTACTGGGTCTAAGTCAAAGTGTCACAGGCCATACTTCCTGCAAAAGCTCCAGGGAATACTCAGTTCCTTGTCTCTTCTAAGGACTGGTGGCTGGTGGTATTCCTTGTCTTGTGGCCACATCCCTCCAATCTGTCTCATTGCTCACGTTGCCTTCCCCTCTTCTGCTTGTAGTCAAATCTCCTTCTGCCTTCCACTTGCATGGATATCTGTGATTGCATTTAGGGATACCCTCACCATTTCAATATCCTTAGCTTAATCACATCTGCAAATATTTTTCCATAAAGGTCATACTCATAGTCCCCAGAAATAAAACCTGATATATTGGGGGAACATTTTCAGCCTACTACAGACATGGACTATGATCTCATCCTTCCTCTGAGGAGATATCTCAGCTCTACTTTTTCTCCAGTTGGTAGGAAATTTGTGAGCAGAAAATACTTTACC